GTGTCTCTTATCCTCAGGTTGCTCTCTCCCATCCTCCTCCTTCCTGCTCCTCCTTTGTCAGTGCACTGAACATAGAGGTGAAGTGGGCATGGGCCTGGCAGTGGTATACATTACTTCATCCTTCTTTCGTCTTCCTTCCTTGTTCCCTGGAGTGCACTGGCTTCAAGATGCTGTGACAGCACCTTGCCATATGGCTGAAATCAGAGAACTGGCTGCTAATTACAGTATCCACAGTCCAGCCCTCACTCAGTATATTAAGAATCAGGCTTCAGGCTCCTAAAGGCATCCGATCCCATTACTGTGTGTTACATTGCTACGCCAGGCCTGAGCACATCTCTCTGAGGTATGCAGGGAGAGGTGGAGCATATTTGGTTTCTATTAACTACTTTGCTCTTTTCCAAGCCATTCCAGCAGGCTCTTGCTATGTGCCTCATCAAGAATGCAGAGGACACGTTAGTAGGAGTAAGAGCTGAGCAGTCACGTGTGTGGCCTGCCAGCTTTGCTCTGGAAAAATGTTTTGACTGGTGCAGTTTCAATAAACTATTGACAATAGGAACTCTTCCTGCCATTCATTTCAATACCATTTTGGGCCCTGACCGAGCTTTGCTTTGGAATGTAATGCAGGATCCTCAAGCAGCTGCTGGGAGCAAGGCAGGCATGCACCAGCTCAGCACTATTTAACTATTCAGTTTGCTCATGTGAGGCTGCAGCCCTGAGCTACGACAGAGGTAGCATATTGTTGTTATTAGGTTACGGTTGCAGGCCTCTGGTGGGCTAGATTTCCCAGCCACCCAAGAAGTCCCCACCCCATTGTGGCATGGCTCTTTGTTAGCCAGAAATAATTCACCGAGCCCAAATTCCATTTTCTAAATAGCAGCAATAGAAGGGAATATTATCCAGTGTGGCCTTTAATGCTGAAAAATACAGCTTGCTCTGACTTTTTGTGCTAGATTTCTCATCCTACCTCCCCTCTGCTTTCAAAATCTCAGCTCACTGGCTGTCAAAGCTGCATTTGGAGTATTGGACAGTCCTTAATTTAGATTATCCAGCAAGAGGAAGGTTAAAGTGTCCCAAAGGTAGTGCTGAAGGGGTTTTTAGGAAAAAGAGGTTACTTTCTTTTCCCTCCCTTTCCTCACTCCTCTCTCTCCTTACATAGACCCAGTAGCCTTCCTGACAGCAAGTATTCTGGGTTTGTTCCACAGTCAAAACATCTGGGTGAGAGCATGAACACACAGTGGTGACGGGTAGGGGGTGCACGGGTTTGCATGTGCACCCCCTGACAGGCCACACTCGCTGCTTAGGCAACGGGCGGGGGGGCAGGTGAGAGTGCCAGCCGGGGAGTGGGAACCACCCCCCACCCATTGGTGAGATTGGCCCTGGGGGACCCCTGCCCCACAAGTTGGTGAGATTGGCTGTGGGTTGCTGACCGGTCGCTGGGGGGGGCACATGCCCCCCCGACTAATGTGGCACCAGTCACCCACACGAACACAACTGGTGTCCTCACCAAAACCCATAGTCTCATTGGGCTATTTATCAGTAACATGCTAGTGACAAAACGTAGGGTCTGTGGAGTTTTTAAACAAGGTTCTCAACCCTAAGAAAGGAAAAACTGCACAAGGGAAGTAGAACTGGTGTCACCTCGTTGAAGTGAAAACTGGGGATTGATGAAGTTCATCCCTTAGGAAAGCCCTAATGGGAAATCCAGCAGTGAAGTATAGGGGGAGACTGCAGGTCTGGAGATGGACCAGGGGCTCCTGTGAGTATTTAATGCATTCACAGAAAAGGTGCTGATTTCTACCTTTTCAAACCTCTGTCTCTGGGGCAGTTCCCCGAAGTCCTTGTGGAGTATATTCTTACTGTGGCTTTCTCCCTTCCTGATAGCAGCAGCCGTTATATCTCCCTCTCAAACATACTTCATACTTTATTAAGAAACTGTGACCAAAACAAAAAGCAACAAATGACAATGAATGTGTGAAACCATGAACATAGTGATGAGTCCAAATTGATTGTCTCTAGAAACCAGCCTGCCTGATTATAAAAAAAAAAAAGGAAAAAAGAAAAAAACTGTCACTATTAAAATGGGCAAGGTGGTTTTCTTCTCTTCCTTTGGTAAAAATGAATCTGAAGGCAAGGATTCAACCTCTTGAGAAATTATTGCTTCTGCCTTGAGGAAGCCCAGAATAATTTCCCCGAGAGCTTTGAGAATTAAATTCTGAGTTCTTTTCTGTGGAGTGGGTGTACCCAACTGCAGAATATCATTAATCAGAAGGGAAAAAACCCTGAAAAAGTATAATAATTAAATATGGAAGCTTCCCAGTGAGGGCCTTCCTGGGAAAAAACCCCACAAAGTTGATTTTGAGAGAGATGAGATAAGAGCTATTAGAACAGAAAAATCTTTGAGCTGTATAATAGTGGCTTAGTGCAGGTGAGAAGAAGCTGAACACTTGTTTTCTTGTTTTTTCTAATCCTAAAGATTAAGGAAATTTTGTAAGGATCCACTGGTGAAGGCCTTTGTCAAATATGTATTGATACTTAGTGTAGCAGGAGACTGGCCTTTCGCAGTAACTTGTTTTAACCATTTTAATACTTATTACCTTCCTTGTGACCCCACCCTTACGTCCCCAAACAGCATGGAACTGTGTTGACTCTCTGTGGCTGCTTAACGACGTTGGGATTTTAAGATCTGTAGCACAGTCCGCTCCCATCAGTGAGCTAATTCAATCACTGCTAGCTGTAGGAAGTAGATATGCCGCTGGAGAGACAGACACATACATTGCTTCCAAGTTTCAAGTGTTTGCTGGTAGTAAAGGAACATTAAGATTTAGGCTTCTTTGGTTCATGTTCAAGTCCTGTATGTGGTGGTTTCATAGCTTTGCATCCCTTCTCCTTCCACACATCCACACAGACTAGGAACACAAATTACACATAAACCAGTAGAAGTGATCAGAAATCAGTTAAAATCTGTAACACAACAGAAGTTCAATGCACATAAACTGCTTTCAAAATGGCTGAAACCAGTTTAAGATAAACTTGGATGCACGTAGTATCAGACTTAACTGATTTAGGTTAAATTGGTTTATTGAACTTCTGTCTCAGAGCCCCTCCAGGTTCAAATTAACCCATAGTCCCCCAACATCCTAGAATGCTTTTCACTCCCCCCACACCCCTCCCTCGCAGGGTGGGTGGGCTAGCCTTGGCCCAAGCTGTCTGCTCCAACCAAGCAGGGAGGCATGCTCTGGCACCCCCTGGCTTCTGGCCTGGGCCACATGAGCCACTGCAGGCAGGCGGCTGCACTTTCAGAATCAAAAGTGAATGTCTGTTCACTTGCTTATCAGTTCAATCTGCACAGTTTAGACTAACCAGCAAAGACTGAATCAATTCAGCCTCGGGGTTTTTAACTGTCTATACTTAGCCACAGTCCCCTTCTCATCTTAGCTTCACTTCCGCAGCTGTGGTCATGTTTTCTCCTCCTGTTTCTGTACATTTCCTCCCTTTCTTCCCCCCTTTTCTTCTCCTTGCCTGATGCATCACTCACTCATTCCCTCACGACCACAAAATCTCTCTCTTGTCCATCCCCACCCACCCGTTCCTTCCCCCACCTCGGCAGCCTCTCTTCTCTTTTGCCCTGCTGCATTTGGTTGCCAGCAGGAGGGGTGCAATACCAGACAGTCTGGTATCCAGCCTTGTCACACTCCAGTGCTGGGGAAAACAATTGCAAAGCAATTCCCACTCATTCTCTGCAGCCCTGGGCTCCCATACACTTAGCCACTCTGTAGGGGTGGTCCATATGCTGTCTGATTATACAAGGAAACTGTGAGAATTTGGAGCATGCTCAAATGCCAGTTGAGTCTTCTGAGAACTTAGTTGCCAAACTAACAAACCTGTATTGAGTCTGTGCAAGCTGAGATTTTTCAGAAGCTTAAAGCCTGGCAGGATTTGGGCAGGTGTTCACAGCAGTGGCAAAAGGTCTGTCCTAGGGAACTGCCCAAAAATGTCCAAGTCCTGGAGTCTAGGCATGGAGACATGGGAGCTGCTCAGAAATACACCTGTACATATTTAACATGGGCAAAACAACGCGTTTTTTCTTCATTCCCAGAAACTGCTTAAATGTTACAACCAAAACCTCTAACAGTCTACCAGGTGCAAAAAGATGCCTGGTGTGGGATACTTCACCAAAACGATTAAGTTTAACCCATTATAAGCATATGTGCCTGCCTGCAATATTGTGTAATGGGTCTAAGGGACAAGCCTGCTAGCTCACTTGCACTTATATTGGAATTTCATGGCTAACTCTAGTAGAGATCTTACAGGAACTCTGCAGTTAACGCAGTGATGTGAACAGCGTCCCTGGAAGCTGACAGAACTCCAGCGAGGACATTAGGGACTCGGTGCATCTGAAATGCTGAGAGCGCACAGCTTCAGTTGAAGTAAATGGCAGCTGCAGATACTTAGCATCCCAAAAATTAAGCTCTAGGTGTAGTAGAGAGAAAACTCAGGCCTCAGAAAATATACTTGGATCTGTGGGGACCTGCCCACAAGTAAAAGTGGGATATACAAAAGAAGCTATTTTTGAATATTATTAAGTGGCTCTCTGTGCTCCAGGAGCCTTCTGCACTGAGCTGCTGCTCAGAAATGAAGAGTGAGTTAAAATTTTGCAGCAATTCAAAACTCTGCAACAACTTGACACATTAATTTCAGATATAAGAGCAGAGCTTTCACTGTGGCTCCATTAGGCTTCAGAGAGGATAATTGTACTTCAGCAGTTTAGAAGGGGGGTGTGTACCGGGGAACGAAGGGCTGATGAACTTTAAAAGTGCCTTTGAGAACTTTAGGAGGAAAGAACAAAAAACAGAAACAAAAGGATGTCCTCGTTTTTCTTTCCCTAGCCTTGGAGGTTTAGAGAAACGTGACTTATCTGTAAATAAGTGGAATGTATAAATAAAAAACAGACGCCAAACCTGAGCCTAGAAACTGATCTCAGTGTTGCTTTCCATTGACAGATAACAAATACGCTCCTGCAGTCACTCTCAATGGGTTCATCTTTATTCTTGGAGGAGCTTATGCAAGAGCAACCACCATCTATGACCCAGAGAAAGGCAATATTAAAGCAGGTCCCAACATGAACCACTCCAGGCAGTTCTGCAGGTGAGAAAAACCATTAAGATTGAATTACCAGTGCCTCTGAGTTTTCTACTGAAAATAAACTTGTGATCAGAGAAAGGGGGCAGGGGGAGGAAGGGAGATGGGAGATACATACAGTATGTTTTTGCCTCATCTTTTTCCTGTATGTTTAGGGGTGGAACATTTTCCAGGGTGTGCTTGTGGGAGTCTCTCTTTAATGCCTTCGTGCATGACGTTGTCACTTGTCCCTTAATATTAAAGTGCCATAGTTCACAGTGGCCAACTGGGAGTGGCAGGACTTTGGGATCTGCTCCCCGCCCTACCTTTGCCTGCAGGGATTTTTTTGCCTCATTTGACCCATTTGTCAAATGAAGATTGGAAGTTTTTAAGGTCGGGTTAGGCAAACATTTATCAGGGACACCTTTAGGTAGGGATGATCCTGCCCTGAGCAGGGGGGTTGAATTAGATGACCACCTGAGGTCTGTTCTGACCACATTTCCCCTGGCTCTATGATAATGCTCACATTACATGAGCCTGATGGAAGGTGAAATGGGAATGAACTAGTCAAGGATTTCTTTGAGCACTAACTTTAAACTACTGCTCGCTCTCTGGCTCAGTGCTCATGTCTGTGGGTCCTGGCCCAGGTATACACTCATTGTAATCACCTTGAAAAAGAAAACGCTGTGTGCTGGCAGAGCTCTGCTGGCATAAAGCATTACATTCAAAATGAGAGAAACCAAGACTGACCCTTCTACGGCTTAGCTCAACATAAAATCACCCGTTGTAGTACAGGGCAGCTGCACCTCTCTGGGATCGCTGCACTGGGTGCGCCTCAATCGCATTAAAACAGACACAGTAACAGAGACTCGGCCTAGCCGAGGAGTTGTATTTTTTTCTGTGTTTTGACTAGACAGTACCAGTGAGCCCCAGTGAAAATCAGGATCCCATTGCGATAGGCATTGCACAGATTTTTATTTTTTTTTGTGATGGTCTGTGCCCTAAACAACTTGCAGGCTGAGTGACTGACAAAGGAAAGGGTGCAGGAGAAAAGAGAAGTGATGCAACTTGTCAGATCATTCGCAAGTTGATGGCACAGCCATGACCGGGGCCAGGTTTCCAGCATGCTGATCCTGTCTCATAGCCCCCACACCACACTGGGTCTTCACAAGCACCTGTTTTCTACCTCAGCAAACCCTGCTTTATTTTGGTTTATTTTATTGTGAATAAGAAAACTTCTGAAAAACATGTCAGTCCCCGTATTTTTTTTTCCATTGAAAGAGTGCCCTCTTTTGGCTGCCGGACTGAATTTTGTCTGCAGCAAAGAGTGGGAGAAAACAGACCAGCTCCCAGCCGACACCACTGTGTCCTTTCTGCTCCTGTGCTAATTACCGATTTCCATTGTTGCTCCGTACTAACAGGAGTGAAATTGAATTGAGGAGACCCCCACTGTGTTCAGACAGGAGTTAATGATATTTTTTTCTCTGAAGATTGTAAACCAGAAATAAAGGGTATGATGTAGTTGATATAATTGTTACAGACAATTCAGAATCACAGAACCTTGATGCTTATGGATTAAAGTTCCAGCTAGTAAAGCCAAAGATGGGAGCTGGCAAATATGTGTTACAGACCGTCCAGGCCCACTTGAGAACAGAACTAACTGCTCCTTAATTATTTGTCTATATTGTATTGGAAGACAAACTCTGCTAACAGGGATGATTTGCAGCTCGGGGAGGTTTCATGTAGACAGTAAGAGTTTCTCAAAATAATAGATATAAAGTTTGTCACAGAAAGTCCTGCACCCACTGCACTTAATCCCGTTCTGAGAGACCCAGAAGTTTATTGCTGACAAAAACTTCAGCGATTCTCCAGGTATCAGGGATCATGTTCCAATTGAGTTTGACTCGGTTCGACTTTGTTTAAAGAGAAGATGGCACCAGTCAATAATGTGTGAACACAGAACTGGAAGAGAGCCTACTTTTGCAAAGCTTAAAGCAGTTATTGGCATAACGGCTTGGGAATCTAAATGTAAAGCGTGGAGTAGAAATGAAAACTATGGTTTTTCAGGTGGGAAAAAGAGGAAATTAATAGCAGTCAATTAGTTACAAATTAAAGTGCAGAGAGCTGATAAAAGGTAGCTAAAGGATTCAAGGAAATACCTTTATTGGCCATCAATAAGAAGCTATTTTAGCCATTATAAGTCTGTTGCTGTTGGGAGAATTGGCAATAGTGCTATAAAAGGGTAGAAATAAGGGCTGTGCCAAGCTTTGGTCCTTGATTCGATTGGGCAGAAATTCGGCCTGATTTGGTGGCCGAATCTCCAAATCTGAATCAAATCAGGAGACCCTTTAATCTCTCTGAATCAAAGTGGAACCCTCCAAATCGACTCGGAGAGATTCAGAAAGATTCAGCGATTCGTACATAGACACAGCTTTAAATGCATTTTCTGCATACCTCAAGGTACCAGGCAGTTTATGAATGCTGCGAACACAGGGGGCTCCCCAGCACAGTCGGCACCAGACCCAGAAGTGGACCAGAAGCACTTCCAGTCCACTTCCAGGTCCACTGGGGACTGTGCTGGCCCCCCCCCCAGCCCTCTCGGCTCAGCGACTGGTGCCTCCCAGGTCTGGGGGGGCACCTGGGGTCCCCCTGCAGCCAATCGGAAGTACTTCGGGCCCACTTCTGGGTTTGCTGCCAAGCACGGGGGACACTCCATCTGCGCCAACATCACAAGCCACGCCTGGTACCTCGAGGTATGTAAAAAAAAAAACATTTAAAGCCGTGTCTATGGCTAAATCACTGATTCTCCGAATCAGCATCGAATCTTCAGATTCAGCCAAATCGAATCAGGGACAGTGATCCAAATCAACAAATCAAATCACTGTCCCTGATCCGGGCCAAATCCAAATCCACACTGAATACGGCCTGTTTCGCACACCCCTAGTATAAACGCTACTTGTTTCTCTTCTGTGTTTAAAAAGCATTGGGAGGACGTAGTCATTTCATGTGAGGCTGCGGATGGAACAAAGAATTTACCGTCTGTGACAAAGGAGCATCTAAAGCAGCATCTGCTAAAATTAAACCTTTCAAAATCAAGCAGGCTGCGTCTTAAAGGAACTTGCTGAATCAGTAATGTTAAAAATTAACAAATCTTGGAAACAGGGAAAATGCCAAAGAATTGGAAAACGTCAACATCATTCCAGTATTTAAAAACGCTGAAAAAAGCCCTATACAAGATATAAGAGACCAGTTAGTCCTGTTTTACAACAGGGTACAGTTAATGCTTTATCAACAAAGAATCAGAGACTAGAACTAAGTAACATAGTTTTCTGAAAAATCTTGTCAAAAAGCTATTATCTTTTTTGAATAAGTTATGTGTCTGATTGACAAAAGCAAGTGTGTACTTGGATTTCTCTTTGGATTTGACTTAGTACCATATAACATTGTGATTAAAAACCCCATATGTTACATAAAATTAAAAGGGCACATGTGAGACAGGTTTGATGTGGCTCACTGATTGGCTGGGCCCCACAAGGATTGGTTTTTGGTTCATAGCTAACCTGTATTTTTAGCAACAATTTAGATTATATAATATCTTTTCTGGTAAAAGTTGTATGTGATATGAAGATCAGTGAGGGAGTAAATAATGAAGACAGGTTTCTATTACACAGTAGTTTGGATTTCCTGGTTAAATGGTCACAATCCAACAGGATGTGCTTTAGTACAATCCAATACAAGGTAACACATCTGAGACCAAGGAATTCAGGCAATATTTATAGGGCGGGTGGGACTTAGTTTCATAGTTTCTAGGGTCGGAAGGGACCTCAGCAGATCATCAAGTCCGACCCCCTCCCATGGCAGAAAAGAGTACTGGGGCCAAAGGACCCCAGCAAGGTGTACATCTAACCTCCTCTTAAAGACCCCCAGGGTAGGAGCCAGCACCACTTCCCTTGGAAGTTGGTTCCAGCTCCTAGCCGCCCTGACCGTGAAGTCACGCCTCCTGATGTCTAGTCTGAATTTACCCTCTGCCAGCTTGTGACCATTATTCCTGGTCACTCCTGGTAGTGCTCGGGGGAACAGGGACTCCCCCAATGCCTGCTGGTCCCCTCTGACTAGTTTGTAACAGGCCACTAGATCCCCCCTCAGCCTTCCCTTGTGGAGGCTGAACAGCTTCAGGTCCCATAGCCTCTCCTCATAAGGCCTGCCCTGCTGCCCCCTGACCATGCAAGTGGCCCGCCTCTGGACCCTCTCCATGCTGTCCACATCCCTCTTGAAATGCGGCACCCAGAACTGGATGCAGTACTCCAGCTGCGGC